CAATATTATATTTACCTTATCAACAATACTTTCTAATTAATCAATTAATAATTAATTAATAGCTAAATTATTTGTAGTTACAAGGTGAAAAAATTCAGAAAATTTCTGGAAATGCGAAAAAAAGAGATGACAACGGTGATTGGCCAAACAATAATAACTGGACATCAGAAGAGGATGATTTTGAAGATGAAAACAAAAAGAAAGGTAAATCATCAAGGTAAGCAAATGGATATAGCATTATTACAATAGTATTATTAATATTCTCCTAAAGATATAAGGTTAGCTAAACATCAATTGATTAGCTAATTATCACTTCATTGATAGATCCGAGATAATCAATAAGTTCAACTGATATCATGATGAATATAGCCCTCAAGTATAGGATTAGCTAAACATCAATCGATCAGCTAATTATCACTTTGCTAACAGATTTTGCATAATTTGCAAAATTCAGACGATATTCATCATAAATTTGCGCAAAAAAAAAACTTAAATAAAGATAATTTAAATAATTAAAAAAAGTCTTAAATAAAAATACTGATTGAAATTTCAGCAGTATTTATACTATTTAAATATAAATAAATTTCAAATTAAAATGCAACATTTGAAATTTGCAAATTGTATGATTTTCATAAAAATATTAGCAACATTATCAACTACTATTTGATAAGAGTATCAGTTTAAAATTATCACTTGTTTTAATCATTGTGCAGCTAAATTTATTAACTATGAATAAGTCATTTAATGAAAAAAAAAGAAATAGGACTTGTTTAAGAAATGATAAAATATTTTTTCATATATTTTAAATTAAAAGAAAAAAAAGATTTTGTTTATTTTTTTTTTAGGAAAAATTTAAATAAATCAAGAGATGGGTATGGTCTTCAATTGAAACAATTAAAGGAAAATGAATATTTGTATGAAAAAAATGAAAAAGGAGGAAAGATGAAGAAGAAATTGGTTGAAATGACAAGAATTGATGAAAATTTAAGCAATGATAATGATAATAATGATAACAATGATAATGGAAAGGAAGGTAGTGATAATCCAGAAAGTAGCAGTTTTTATGGAATAAGTGATATTTCACATTCAGGCAAGTAATTTTTTCCTCATATAACCTTAAATAATCCATATTCGTTTTTTTTTTAAAAATTAATCACCTAAGATAAGGACAGGTAAATTGCAATACTAATAAATATTATGAAATGATAAATTATACACTTAATTATGTGATAACAATGATAACATTCATGCCTTAAACCATATATTTATCTTATTCAAAATTAATAATACCAAAAAATAAAGGAACGGAAACTTATTAATTAGCAGAAACTACCTATTATTAGATGATAAGGATATTAACCAAAATTATCATTAGAAGTTTAAGCATTAAACTAAGTTAATATTATATTTTTTAAGTTAAGAATTAATAAATACATTTGATTAAATGTGATAAATGAGTAATTGATATGAAATATTTATCAGGTAAGAAAATTACGATAATGATTATTATTAATTAATAAAATTATAAACATTTTTTTTCGTTTTTGATTTTTAATTTAAGAACGATCAACTGCTGCAATGAATTATCATCACAAACATCGTTCACAGGAAATATCAAAGGATGCTCATCATCATGATTTTGAAACAAAATTGATGAAATCTGTTGGCTCACATCAAGTTGACATTTATCAAACTGAATTTGGGGAAATTACAATGCAACAACGATTTAATAAAAGTATTTTTTGAGGAAATTTTTAATTTTTCCTTATTTTTTGTTTTAATAATTGAAAAAAAACCATTTTATTTCATTAAAATTAAAATATTCCATTTTTTAAGAATGTTTTTTCTATTGATAATCAAAAATACTCCATTTCTAATAATGATCTTTTATCGATAACCAATTTGATAATGTTATTCTATTGATAAACAAAATATTCCATTTGTGATAATGATATTTCAATGACAACCAAAATATTCCATTTGTGATAATGATATTTCAATGACAACCAAAATATTTCCATTTGTGATAATGATATTTCAAATGGACAACCAAAATATT